TGAAGGAATTAATTGTTATGGTTATCATTTTGTAAGTTGTTTTGATCCTAGAATTTTTGCGAAATAAATATTCGATTTTACTTTCATTTGAATGTGTTGTTTCGTGTAGCCTATAAAACTTTTGCATTTATTATTAAAAATAATAATTTTGAATTTTAAGTTGAACAAAATATCTTGAGTTTAAAATTATCTATATTTAATTTGCTAGATAATCATGTAATAAATGAAACTATATTTACATTCAAATTATTTTAAATTAATAATAAAAATTCTTGTTTTATGTAGATTTATTTTTCATTAGTCATTTTGTATCCATAACAATATTTTTTTGATGTGGTCTGCATTTGAAGTAGTATTATGCTAATTTATTAAAACATGCTACTTATTTAATTAACTACTTGTTATATTAGATAAATGGTTATTATTGACACTTTTGCTTACTATTTCTGTATATTTAAGATTTTTTACAAAATTTTTATACTTTGTGCTTTTTTAAAGCTTTGTATAAATTTCTCAGTATAATTTAAAAATATATGTGCTGTTTATTTATTAATATTATATTCTGAATAATGTAATTGTAATTTTTTATATTCATAACATGTACTACATTTGTTTTTAGCTACAAGAAAAGAGGAAGTAGAAAACATTAGAACAAAGTTCCCAACAAAAATTCCAGTATGTATCAAAATAAAAGCTTTGAATTATTATTTTTCTTCATTAGTAAATTATATATTTCTCTTATCACTATTCTTGTAAATGAATAAAGAGTTTAACCCTTTGAGGTTTGGAGCATAAAAAAATTTTTTTTGGGGAAAAAAATAACTTTACACATAAATAACTATCCCCTAATACAAGGTTATTTCATGGGGGAAAAAAAAGGATAAACCTTTAAGGTAATTCATGACATGGATACCGCTTGTCCCACCGCACACCTAAAGCTGTAAAATGGGGGGTAAAGTGCAGAATCGCCCACTTATTTGCTTGCTGCTTTTTACAAGAGTTAGATTTTTTGTCAATTTTCTTTGACTTTTTAAGTGAAAATAAGTCAATGGGTACATAGACAAAGGGAGTACGCAATGCCATTTTTGTGCAATTCTGAGATATTCGTTTTAAGTGAAAATAGGTCGATGTGTACATGGATACCAAGTATGTGCAATTCTTAAAAATGCACCAAGCAGTGGGGGATTTTGCACTTTCCTTGTAAAATGGCATCTTTGCCTCAGCGTAAATTCTCCTAACATGCTTTAAAGTGGCTAGTTTTAGCAACAAATGAAATGCAGATATAAAAACGTTTTTGAATATAATTATCTAGAAATATTGATCAATTCACAAAATAAAAAATTTTTAAAAAAATCTCTCTATACGACTTTTGGGATTTTTTAATGATTTCATAATCTTTGAAACAAAGAAGATTTTTGCTACAGGTTGAAAAAGAAGATATTTAGAAGGCCATCATGTTATTTACATTTCACCTCTCTTTCCTCTGCTTAGTATTTTTCTATGGGATCGCTCTCGAACCATTCGTATTCAATGACCTTCATGTAGAGAGTGTTTTTTCATTTCGTTTGGAAAAAATACTAAATATTTTTCAAGTTTTAAACATTTCTGCAATTTATTATATAATATAAATTTGCATTATCAACATATGAAACTAACATGATACATGAATTTTAAAATATTTGAACGGTACTGTCATCTAGTAGCAGAAATTCCTACATGCAGGGTGGGACGTATTTGGTCCCACCTTTTAATTTCAATTAATTTATATATGAATAATCAAGTTATGTATGAATTCAAATATTAATTTTTTTAGAAAAGGAAACTTTCGCATAAAAATATTCATTCTAACACCAAACGTTGTTGTTCAGACAATTCAAATTTCATTAGGGAAAAAAAAAAAAAAAAAAAAAGCTTCAAAATTAGACCTGCCAAAAAAAAAATTTTTTTTACATTCTTTCCATGAATGAATACTTGTGTTGCCACCTGTTATACATTTAGAGAGCTAAAAGGCTTAATTGTATATATTTTAAATGGAATTTTGCAGCTTTTATCTGGGAGATAAAAAAAGGTGGGCGTCACACCGCCCATGAAAGGGTTAAATGATTGTGTATTAATAAGCTAGTTTAAAAATGTTATATTAATTCACTAAATAACGTTTTTCTTATTATTGTTATGAAGTTTTACCACTAATAATTGAAGCATGATTTTAGTTTAAAGTAACTTAAGTGTAGTAAAGAAAATTATTGGACTAAAATTATATTTAGCAAAAGGAAAAGGGATATTTTGTAGGACATTATTCTTTGCTTGTTCATTTAAATTAGATCATTGTACAAATTATCCTGCATGCAAAATAAATATAATTTTTAATAACAACTGCATTTATTCTGTGTTGCTTGATTTCAGGAGTTGCATTGGTTTATGTCAAAAATAGTGACATGTATCCTAAAAAAAAGTAAAATAAAATGAAAACTATCCTGTTGTTTGAAACATAATATTACATAAATAAAAAAAAATTAATACTTATGTTATTAACCGTGAACTGTCATTGAGCTGTCTCATTCTGCGCAAATTATAAATAAGAGAGATGATACACTCGTGGCATCTGCTCTTTTGTTTGATATAAACTCAATTGCTTTTAGGTAAACCAGGTTTTATTTTTATGACCAAAAATATAAATTAACTACTGTAACCGTATTTTTTTCTTGCACAGTGAAAAACTTTTGAAAAACAATTGCAATACAAAGTCCGAGATCCAGACTCGTCAGGACTTCTACGATTCTGGATTTGGGATTTTTCCGGATATTAACTCATCAGTTTAAATCTAATAAGATGGCATGTAGAAATTATAAAATTAAAAATATGAAATTGTGATTTATGAAATAATGAAGTATTTATGATCTAAAGGGTATCAAAATTTACAAAAAAAAAAAAAAAAAAAAAAAAGCTTAATATTTATTTTTTTACCTTATTAAACATTTGTTTCAATGTAAGTTGTTTAAGTTGCTCTGTTTTTTGTGCTAATACCTTCTCTTTTATTCTGTAAACAGACATATTTTTTGTTTAGTTACATTGTTGAAGTCCTGTAACTGCAGTTCGAAAATCCTGACTAACTTATCAATCAAAATTTTTTCGTTTTCAGTGATTTCTCTCTCACTTTCTTCACTATCAGTAGCGGTATTTTCTGGATATAGAACCATACTCCAGATTTTGCTATCCATTTATTGTCTGATGATTGAAGAGCATCGTCATCACAATGAAAAACTTCTTTTATATCATCTTCATTTATTACCACTTCTCTACATTTCTTTACAGAATCCATTAATTGGAAAATTTCACCTTTGATTTACGATATTCGAAAACCTTTAAAATTCATGGCTATCATTATAAAATATAACTGTCATTCACTATACATATTTGGCTATGTATCACGAGATTAGCGTTAAAGACAAGTTGTTCCGCTAAATTTTATCCTGTTTCTGTTGCACACTGAGACAGTTAAGCCTGAATTGTATTAGTTTAGTTATTTATTATACTTATGTCTATTTCTTGCACATGCTTATCTGAGTCCTGAATAAGTTAATTCCCACATTTGCTTAAGGCTTATTGAGGGCCGGTGTTAGATATCTTACCGCCTGATGCAGTCTCTGTGGTTCATAAATTCTGCTACCAAGTGCTCCCTTTGTCTTCCTTCCATTCTGCCGCCCAGTGCGGCCATATGAGCCCTGCCGCTGGTTCTGGGTTTATGTGAATAACAAATGGGTTATTCTTAATTTCAAATAGCACTAAATTTAATCTTTTGTCCTATGAATATCATTAACAAAATCTACTTTTAGCATATGGAAAGATATTTTTGTTAAATTTTTCTTCGTCAACATTTCTTAGCGCATTGAACTTCAATCTGTAATCATCGCCAAGCGTAATGTCAAACTAAAAGGTTACCATGCTCTTTATTATTCAATTACTACAGTACAAAGTTTGTAATCTGAACGTCCATTATCTGGAGTGATTTATAATCCGGACCTCAAAGCCACAAACTTTTTTTTGGTGTGCTTTACGCATGTACGTTTAAGCAAGCACATTCACGTTGGGAGGATGTGTCTCCAGATATGTTAAAAAAAGCTTGGCATAATTTATGGCCAGCTGCCATATTTCACTGTGAAGACGATGAAGATGATAGCCGCGAATGTGAAGGTTTTCGGACATCGCTAACTAAAGGTGAAATTTTCCAGTTATGGGATTTTGTAAAGAAATGTGGAAAAGCGGTAATAAATGAAGATGATATAACAGAGGTTTTTCATTGCGACGACAATGCCTCAATCATCAATCAGTTAACGGATAGCGAAATCTGTAGTATTTTTCTAGATCCAGAAAATACCGCTTCCAGTAGGTGGAATTCGGTAACTGAACAAGAAATTATGTCTGTTTATAGAATTAAAGAGAAAGTATTAGAACAAAAAATGACGCAAGCAACTTACATTGAAAGAAATGTTTAATAAAGTAAACAAATAAATATTAAGCTTGTTTTTTTTTTTTTGTAAATTTTTATACTGAATATGACCAACAAAATGGCTATAGATTTGAACAATTACGTGTGAGAAGTTTATGCTCGTAGCATTCTAAACTGAGTTTTGAGTAAAATCTCGGAGCTTAACAAAATAGTAGAAATAGCTTTTTTACGAAGTGCAAAAACAAAGCTGGTCAAATACCGATTCTTAATTGAGTAAAGAAAGGGTAAAAATAAATTTCAGGGTATCCTTTGGCGAAAATTGGTGATTTTTTTGGCTCCATTCCTGTTTACATACAACGCGCCCCGTAGTAAAATGGCATCCAAAACATAATTAAAAAAACACAATACAAAGTCCGAAATCCGGACACATCGGGACTTCGGCGATTCCGGGTTTGGGATTTTTCCGGATAATAGATCATCAGTTTAAATCTAGTAAGATGGCATGTAAAAATTATAAAATTAAAAATATGAAATCATGATTTATGAAATAATGAAGTATTTATGATCTAAAGAATATCAAAATTTACAAAAAAAAGTTTAATATTTATTTATTCACCTCATTAAACATTTTTTCAATGCAAGTTCCTTCTTTTTTTTTTTTCTTTTTTCGTGCATGTGTGCTAATACTCTCTCTTTAATTCTGTAGACAGACATAATCTCTTGTTTAGTTACACTAAGAGCAAATGTTTTTATTTTATTCGGCTTATAATTCCTTACTAAATGTAGCATTTCATCTCGATGTACTCCGTCTTTGATATGATTTAAATCAAGTTCCTCATCATTATAAATAGCACGAATACACATCAAATAGTTTTCTGGTTGCAATTTTCTAATTTCGACTATGCGTAATGTATGATTTACGCATGCGCGCGTTGAAATAAATGTTTAATAAAGTAAACAAATAAATATTAAGCTTTTTTTTTTTTTGTAAATTTTGATACCCTTTAGATCATAATTGCTCTTTATTTCATAAATTACTGTTTCATATTTTTAATTTTATAATTTCTGCATGCCATCTTGCCAGATTTAAACTGATGATCTATAATCCGGAATCGCCGAAGTCCCCAAGAGTCCAGATTAAAGACTTTTTACTGTATTACTCATGAAGTAGAGGTGTTATGGTTTGAGGGTGCTTCACTGTCTTTCGAATAAGAAATTTAGTATTATTCTAAAATAATGTGGAATAGTGTAAATGTATAAATATTCTTAATGAATACCCGATAGCATTTCCAAGAAACTTGGAAAGCAAAATGCATTCAAGTTCTATTATTTTTGAATTTTATTTTTAAATTATTTCTATTTTTTCTTCCAATGATATAAATGTTGTGCATTCTGAATTATAATATCAACGAAATATAATGCTGTTAAGTGAACCTAGCACCAGAGTGTTACTATGGTAAACAAATATAGTGAATTTTAAAGCATGCATTTATTCTATTGTGGTTTATGCGCTATCGACAAAGTAGATTTAATTCAATTCAATAAGTTTAAATGAAATGCAAGAAAAAATGCTAATTTAATATTTCGTACAAGGAAGTCATGTGGTGTACACATCATATTTTATTTTATTTTATTTTTTTTCCTGTGGAAATTATAAATATTTAAAGGATACGAGTTTGTCAGCTAAAATTATTTTGTTTACTTGAGTTAAATTTTTTTTAAAAGGTGATCGTTGAAAGATATCCAAAGGAATCCCAATTACCATTGCTGGATAAAACAAAATTTTTAGTTCCACAAGAGCTTACTGTCTCTCAGTTTCTCACAATTATCAGGTAAGTATTTTGCTCACCTATTTATTTAAAATAAAAAAAAATAATTGTGGTAGTTCTTATATTTTCTTTGTATGTTTGTTCTTTATTTCTTTATATGTTTCTTTGTATCTATGTGGTAGTTCTTATATTTAAAATATTTATTCTGTATTTGTTTGTATTATCTAATGCATTTCTGGGATGAGTGTTGTGCAGTTTTTATAAAACCCAATTAGAATATATGATTCAGTCTGCTGGGGCAGCTGAACTATTTTTTAAAGTCATGAAATTTGAACAGATGGGAAAATCAAATATTGAAAGATCTAAGATTTAATTACATATTTTAATTTAGTAAATTATATTACTATGACTTCTGAATGCCAAATAAAAATAATGGTGATGCATATAATTTTATTTTAAATTATTTCTGTATACTAAATTGTGATGAAATAACTAAACATTACATTTAGTTGCTCTTTTGTATGTAGATCATTTGATAATCATCTAGTGTGTGATATACCATTTTTAGTTAGTTGTTTTTAGATAGTGGCAATAATATTGTTGTTTGTTTTCAATCATTTCTTTTCCCACTATTTTATCATGCATTTTAATTTCAAAATAGCATTTTAATGGCACCATCTAAGAAATGACTAAAAGCAGTAGATAGCATACTACATCATTACCGATAGTTCTTTTGGATTATAATTATTCTTATCTATTCTAAGCACATACTGGGAGACTGCATATGGTTTTGAAGCCAGGTGTTTGAAAAGAAATTTCTTTACTTTAACAAAAGAAGCATTTTTGTGTTATTGATGTCTTTCATGGCTTTCATATTAGTTTGAGTTGATAAATCATATGGTCTGTGTTTTATTTTATAAAACATGATAAAATATTTTTACTAGACAGTATTTGGTTTATAATGCAAAACCACAACTTATTTAAAATAATACATGGCTTACAGAAAGAAAAAATAATTTATAAATGGCTTAACTAAGTAACCTGCTAATTAAGTAGTGGTAATGTAAATCTGATCTATTCAGATAAGCATATCTGAAATTTCAGAGTCTTGTTGAGGAAATGGGAAAGAATTTGTTGCAAATATGTAGAATCATAAATTGAATAAAGTGAATGACTAAGAATGTTTATATAATGCTGAATTGTAAGTACTGGCTGTGACTGTAAGAATTTGTATTAGATTATGGGAGAGATTTCTGGATAGATTTGGAATTAACTATTAATATCAGTTATGTCCATTAAAATAGAAAAAAAAAAAAAAAATGATGATGGGTTATTGATAGAGAGAATTCAGGAGTAATTCAATATCATTGAAGGTGTAAAAAACAGTACTGTCAAAAGTCGTTAATTCGGACACCCATAATCCGGACCTGAAAGCTACAAACTTTCTGCGCATGCATCTCGTTGACGCATGCGCAGAAATTGCGTCGCGTTGACGCATGCGCGTAAGACCTTTACGGCTGCGAACATGCTTGTGCGCGTTCGCAAATTACGTTTAAGAGTGCGCGTTTAATGTATAACGGACGTCATAAGCTAAGCTAAAATTATCTAATCATCTATTTCAGTTAATGTTGCAGATTGCGTTGTTCCTTAATCTTTGAATTGGATCCGGCTTATTATTTTTTGCAGATTGTTAAAGCAATTTTATAAAAGTAAGCTTGAACTTTCGATTATGTCAAGTAGAATTTCTGATATATATTTATTAATATGTAAAGGATCTACAAAGCGAAAGTATGTTTCAAAGTTCATTAAACAAAAAGTAGAATTGCTGCACAAAATGGATAAAGGCATATTCTTTGTTTATCTAAACTTATGTCTGTTTATAGAATTAAAGAGAATGTATTATCACATAAAAAACGAAGCAACTTAAGCAACTTACATTGAAAGAAATGTTTAATAAAGTAAACAAATAAGTATTAAGCTTTTTTTTTTTTTTTTTTTTTTTTTTTTGTGTAAATTTTGATACCCTTTAGATCATAATTGTTCTTTATTTCATATATTACGGTTTCATATTTTTAATTTTATAATTTCTGCATGCCATCGTACCAGATTTAAACTGATGATCTATAATCCGGAATTGCCGAAGTCCCGACGAGTCCGGATTAACGACTTTTGACTGTACTTATTTGCACACCACAAGGATCATGTTGTCAGTTGGACGAAATGGAGCTACAATATTCAGATTACTATGCATTCATAATGGTGTCGTATTTTTGAAAAACATAGTATTTGTCAAAGTGAATATGGTTCCATATTGTTACGTTACTCCCAGCTTTTATATATTTTTCATATTTTTTATGAAAAATTTTCTTTACAATTTTACATAAAAAATTATTTTTTTATTAAAGGTGTCAACATTTTTGCCAGTATGAGGACTTTTCATCAAATCTGTGTTCAAGCTATTATTGAATTCATTTGCTTTTTTATCTCAAAAGCAGAAGTTATTCCTTTTATGAATATGAATTATTTTGTGTGTCACCAGGGTTGTTGATTTATCATTATTTTGGTATTTTAAAATCAAATGATCTACAGAAATTTTGATTTGAGCATTTGTAAATTTTGTGTCAGGTTTTTAGCAAATATAACCCTATCACTCTAAGAGCAATACAGTGTACTCTAGATTAAAAAAATGCAGATAATCCAAGCTATCAATTTGTGTGCATGTTGTATGTGTTTATTTCCAGGAAAACAAATGAGTTATTTTACTTTGTTTTTGAGAACATTTAAATAATTCTCGAATTTTACTGTGCATTTTTCAAATATCTTTTTATTGCTGTATTCAAATCTCTTTTGGTCGATAATGAAGTCCAATAGAAATCAACTGTACAGAAGTCATTGCTGTCTGATACTAATGTATCTTCTTTACCTATTCAGTATTACTTTTTGCATCTTCTGTTCTTGTGACGTTGAAATAATATCCACATCACTTAAGCAGTGGAAACCCAGCTCAGTTGAATCGCTGTAGAACCATTCCTTGATGTTTTCATGGTCAACATTTTTAAAGAGTTTATATTTTCAATTTTTTGTCATACAACTTCATTTATTTTCTCAAATTCTTTGTAATTAGATATTTCAACTATGCACGTTCAGAAATTGTAACTAAACGTAGACGCAATTCAACAGTTTCTAGAGTATGCTCTGACTTGCATGTGTTTATTACTCACTGCCACGCATGGATAATCCGCACACAGGTAATAAAAATTATACTACATATTTAATTTCATTTTTACTTCCTTGTACGAAGTAAAAAGGAAGTATTGTAACCGTGAAAAGTTTCGGGCAGCATATTTCAACGAAAATATCCATTTTGACCGCTGTCGAATGCAATTTAACAATGTTTTTGCGTGATATCTGTACGTAAGGACAGAATAAAATACTCTTTTCCTTCAAAAAAAATATTATAAAACTGCTTTAAAATGAATTCTGAAGAGAATTTTTCGTGGCGTCTGTACGAACGTATGTACATGCAAACGTGCGTATGTACGTATCTCGCATAACTCAAAAACGAGTAGCCTCAGAACATTGAAATTTTGTATATAGGACTGCTATAACATGTAGATGTGCACCTCGTATTTTGGTTGCAATCGGCCGCACCAAACGTATATATATATTTATATATATATCCACTCTGTTACCAGGCTCAGTGATCTCAGTTTCTTTACTCTTATATGTTTGTAAATTGTACGTTTTTTTTGCTTTAAAATGATGGATTTAATTATGTTTTTGTTTTATCTTCCGGTTAAGGTTTTTATGCCTTTAGTAAATCTGTATGCAATATTTTTAGAATTATCAACAATTTTAAAGTTGTTAATGTGCCGCTAAGCCCTTTTTTAATGGCGGCCATTGATGTTTACATTTGAAACAGGAGACTAGTGGATTTGTTGCCAATCTAGAGAAACTTAGCTTCGCAACAACAAAGATAAACGCCATTCATTTATTATTGCCAATTAAATCATGCTTAATTTCTTTCTGGAATTTTTTTCGAGGAGGAAATAAGTGTTTAAGAGTTACTTCGTAATTTTTAATATAGATATTTTGAGTTTTTATGTATTTTTGTTTTCTCGCGAAGTGAAAACTGAATTAATTAAATGAGAAATACACAATCTCAAATGTGAAAAACTGTTTCTTTTTTGTTTTGTTTGCTTAATTTCTTTTATACATCATTCTAGCTTTATTATAGTATTTGAATAGAACATGTGGCAACGATTAGATCATTCTATTCTTTAAATGATATAAATTTTGTGCATTATGGTTATAATATGAAAGAAATATAACAGTTAATTTTGTTTCCATTATATAATTATTATATAAGTTAACTGTTATATAATTATTAATACTGTTAAGTGAATCTAGCGCCAGAGTGTTGCTATGGTAAACAAATACTAGAGTGAATTTCAAAGAATGCATTTGTTCTATTGTGGTTTATGCGCTGTCGGGGAAGTATATTTAATTCAATCCAATAAGTTTAAATGAAATGCAAGAAAAAATGCATATAATTTAATATTCCAATGCAAGGAAGTCATGTGGTGTACACATCATATTTTTTAGAAAAGATATTAGGATAAAACATTTTGATTTCCATTTGTGATGTTTTAGAATTCTTTTTTCTTGCATTTGTGCAATTTTTTAATGAATTTCTGAAATTTAAAGAAGGTAATAAATGGTTACTAGCCCTATGTAGCAGCCTTGGCTAGAATGTTGATTTAGCATGATCTGTGCATTTCTTTCACTTTTAAAATACAATGGTTTTTCATGCATGCTTGTAATTGATGTTTCTTTGGCTAGTAAAGTTTTCTGCTTTTAAAATATAGCTTTTTTTGCTGATAATGCTGATAATTTTCAACCTGCTGATTATCATAAAGTGAAAAAGATGCTGTAGCTTCTTCCCCCAGAAGAAAATGTATTTTCTTCCAAGCAAGATAATTTTTTAAAATAGCATGAATGTGTAATTCTCTGTTTGCTAGAAAAGAAACAATTTAGTGATGCAATATCAGTAGCTGTTCAAA